GGGGGGGCAGTGAGGCTGGAAAGACCGATCTAAAAGCAAGCCGGCTCAGAGAATCGGGTGAGTATAACTTTATTTTCTTCCCTAGACCAAAACAAGCGGTCAACCCTTGCAGTGCAGGGGTAGCCCCACCAAGGGCTAATACACATTTTGGCCGGAGTTCTTCTTTAAAGAATAAACACACCAGTAGCTTAAAAAGGCCTAACAAGGGCAGATACATTCAATACCAGTGATGCTGCTAAAAATTACATTTTTTGTTGTGACTTTTCTTCACTCCAGAGGTTACATAGTTACATAGTAAGTCAGGTTGAGTAAAAGTCACAAGTCCATTGAGTTCAACCTATAAGAGGTTCAAAAACTCAGGTTCACAAAAAAAACCTCGTAGTTCAAATATCACCCTTTCAAAGCTAAACTGTCTTTTCCTGCAGTATTAACTCTTCAACTAGAAACCTGTGAAAACCAAACATTCAACGTGTATTCCAGTGATTTCCTCACACCACTGACTTCAATTCATTGTTAGCAAGTGTTCCTCATCATCATCAGACGTAATTATCATGGCAGGTAGTGGTGTCATTTGTCTGAAGGTGCCCATACACTGCACGATTATCGTACGATAATCGTATGCGATCGGTTTTTCGTACGATAATCGAGCAGTGTGAACGGAGACGTGCGACCGTTTCTACTGTACGGTCGCACGTCTTCTATCGAACCAGCATGTTCGAATCGTACGATTTTCGGCTGGTTAGAACGGTGCTCGGAAGATAAATGCTGAACGGGCCGGTGTGCGCACGCGCACACTGCCCGTTCAGCATTGCGGTCATCGGAAGCCCGCCCCTCAGGGGGGCGGGCTTGCGATGATCGAGAGTGCGATCTGCCTGTCCAAGATAGACAGATCGTACGTTTTTTTAATCCCTTTACAACCATCGCAAGACTAAAGTCTTGCGATGGTTGTAGAGTGTATGGCCACCTTTAGGTGCTTTTCCTTGTATTTCTTTAAAAAATCTACCTAGTATAATTTGTTTTAAGCAGAAGATTCAAACAAAGCTGTGCCATTGTATTCATACAGTTTGGTTTAGAAGCTATTCCATTGTTTGGCCTGATAATGGTTCCTTCTGTATGAAGCTAGAAAATCACGTGACATATTTTCAGATTTGTAAAATTGACGCAAATATACTAACAGCCCATTTAATGGCTAGTGGGGCCCATCATTCTTTAAAATACAATTTCTTGCTGCTTAGTTTGCAGTTATATTCATACTTAATGCCCTAAGGGAAAGGGGACATCAGTGCAATGGTAGTGTCATAGGATTGTTAGTACATCAGTGTGGTCTGTGACATGTGGGTGGTCTGTTCGCTTCTAATAGCCACCAAAATTAATTTGTTGGTGCTGCATCTCTGTACTAATTATTTTAGTACAGAGATGAATTGTTCAAAGGAAAAGCTACAGATTTTCTTACAACTGTCTTATATCTCTTCGGTATGACTTAATTTGGACAGATCAGCAGCCAGGGAGTTTGAATCAGCTACTTTTCCGTGACTTATTAGTCCTCTAATTAAATTTGGGACATTCCAGCGACAGTTAGAAATTGGAATTCTGGCAGTGTAGAGTGAGGACACAAAACACTTTGTCTTTGGTCTGAGACGGGGGCCTAACCCGTTCTACATGCTGCATTTTCAAGTGTTCTGTTTTAGAACACATAAATGGCAAACAGAGCAGCAGCCATCTCTTTCTAGTGTAAAGACAGTACTTTCTGATGTCTGCTAAGAACAGAGAGGATGATAAACTAATTACCTAGTTTCCAACTTTCTCTAATCTTACATAAATATTTCAACTTTCTCATGTTGTAACATCATTTAAGGAGCAACATAAAGTACTGTTTTATCTAAAATGGTTACATTAGAAATCCACATAATGCTGATAAAACTGTAACCCCCTGTAAATGACATCCACGCATGAAGGAATTACAATTTCAATTCCTATATGGAGCCCCTTTCTTTCTCAGCATGTGGTAGCTGAGCTGGTATGTCCAAGTAAAAAGGCTCATCTTTTAGTATACATTGGAAGCTGTTTTGTGTATAAGCTGTTCTGTCAAGAATAAAGTAGTGGGGCAGGCACTGACTCAAAGCAGGTATAAAAAAAGTGCATCAGTTAATCTAAATAAGGATTCTATAAAAAATTATAT